ATCCGCACAAGCTTTCTCCAAATTGTATTTTGTTGCCTGGAGCTCAGTGACTTTCAGCAGCTGCTTTTAGGGAGGGCAACTCATCTCTGATGGTGCTTAGGATCCTTGGGATCCTCCAGGACATGTTCTCCTTGAGGGTAAAGAGGCATGGATGGCTCTCTTGGCCAAGGTGGAGTTAAGAGCATCACGTTGAAGCCATAGTGTCACTGCAGCCATAGCTTTTGGCTTTTCCCCCTATTCCTTGCCATTAACCAACTGTGGCCGGACTAGGAGGAGCCACAATGCAGGATCTGGCTGAGATGAGATGAAGGATAAGATGGTCTCACTGTTTACTGAAGCGTCAGGGGCCATGGAGCAGTTTGAGCTGGTTCTGTGGTGGCTGATGCATGAACCCCAAAGGCTGTGTGTGGATGTGCGTGTCTGTGTGCTACCCTCTTCGCTCAGGGTGGGAGGGTGACGTGGTGTTTGCTTTCTGGAGATGCGCCCGCCTGGGTAAATGTTATTGCTCACCTGGTTTCTGTCTCCTGCACGGGAGGGAAGGGGAGGAAACCAAGGTGATGACCTTCAGTGATCAGAGCACCTCTGCTTCTCTCCTCCCCTTGCACATACAAACCCCAGGCCCTTTAATTCTGTCTGGCTGCAGAACAAGTTCTTTATCTGTTTCTGCTCTGTCTGCAGGAAAAGAGAAACTAATGGCAGGAAAAGAGAAACTAATGCTTTACTTGCCTTTTTTTGACCACTAGTCTGTAGTTCATCACCCACTTCTGTGTGTGGGCATGAGGCTTCATGTCTCTGAGTGTGCTTTGCACCCTGAAGGTGCTGCATGGCATGCTGGAGCCCTGTTGTGCTCCATGATGCTCAGAGGGCTGGAGCACCTCTGCTGTGATGAAAGGCTGAGAGAGTTGGGCTTGTTCAGCCTGGAGAAGAGAAGGCTCCAGGGAGACCTTATTGCCCCTTCCAGTACCTGAAGGGGCCTGGAAAAAAGGGGACTAAATAAGAAACCTGGGAGGGGACTTTTTACAAGGGCAGGTAGTGACAGGACAAGGAGTAATGGCTTTAGATCGAAAGCAGATAGATTTAGATTAGATATCAGGAAAAAATTCTTCCCGGAGAGGGTGGTGAAGCACTGGAACATGTTGCCCGGAGAAATTGTGTATACCCCATCCCTATCTGTCTTCAAGGCCAGACTGGATGAGGCTTGGAGCAACCTGGTCTAGTGGAAGGGGTCCCTGCCCATGGCAGGGGCATTGGAACTAGATGATTTTTAAGGTCCTTTCCAACCCAAACTGTTCTGTGATTCTATGATTCTATGAAATCCTGTGGGGAACTACAGCTGAAGCAGTGCCTTGGTCCCTTGCTCCCGCCCCAGCATAGGCAGAGCACCCAGGGAATGTCATGCCTGTGAACTGAAGTCCATGCTGTCTAGATCAGGGCTAAAACGTGTGTGTGGGAACTCAGCAGCTTCAGTGGGGACTGAAGAATCCAAGTAATTTAATATTGGGAAGCTCCAATCTAAAGGGTTTGGGAAAACTTCTCAGGAGATTTTTCTGGGGAGACTGACCCATGGATAAGTCTTACCCTGATGGAATCAGCTCCAGAATGTTGGAGCAAGGAGGCAGTGCTGCCTTCCCTCCTGTGAGTGCAGCAAAAACCCGTGAAGATCATTAAGGGACTGGAGCATCTGAACCAAGGAGAGGCTGAGTGAGCGATGACTGCTCAGTCTGGAGAAGAGAAGTCTCAGGGGGATCTTAATGATGTGAATAAATACATGATGGTAGAGAACGAAGAAGACAGAGCCAGACTTCTCAGTGGTGTCCAGTGACGGGACAAGAGACGGTGAGCACATGTTAAAACCCAGGAAATTCCATTTAAACACTAGAAAAAGCTTTTTGACTGTGGGGGTGGTGAATAAATACATGATGGTAGAGAACGAAGAAGACAGAGCCAGACTTCTCAGTGGTGTCCAGTGACGGGACAAGAGACGGTGAGCACATGTTAAAACCCAGGAAATTCCATTTAAACACTAGAAAAAGCTTTTTGACTGTGGGGGTGGTCAAAAGAGTGGCACAGGTTGCCTGGAGAGGTTGTGGAGTCTCCATTAAAAACCTGACTGGACACAATCCTGGGCAACCTGCTGTGGCTGGCCCTGCTTTGAGCAGGTGGAATGGACTGGATGATCTCCAGAAGTTCTTCCTAATGACACTGGTTTGGTGATGCTGTGCTCACACAGGGAGTCCACTGGGACCAAGCTCAGTCCTGCGCCTTGAGGGTGCTACAAGGTCCTTCTGCAGGGAATCACGGCAACTCCTCTCTGCCCTTCAGGGGGGACTCCTGGGAAGACTCACTGAACATTTTGGGACTTGTCCAAGTTGTATGCAGCACTCACCTGATGTCTCCTTCCAGGCGGGCCTGTGCTGGGCTGATCCTTGTGCAAAGCATCACTCCATCTCCAAGGCCTGATGCATCTTCAGGGACCAGGCATGCAAGACCCTGGCTCAAAGGAGAGGCTGTTCCCGCCTACCGCAGCAGAGGATTGTGGCATTGAGGAACGTTCGTGCCCTTAGGAAGCTTCCAATTCAGCTGCAAACTGCCATAGGGTTTTGCACATTACGAGGGAATGATATTAGAAAGCCCTGGGGCTGATAAGTTGTGGATCAAGTGTGTGCTCTCAGCCACCACCACACTGGACCAAAAACACCTTGAAACACCACATCCAAGTGTGCACCTGAACGGGAAACGCCTACAGATAAGTTGTGGATCAAGTGTGTGCTCAAACACTTGATCCACACTGGACCAAAACCACCTTGAAATACCACATCCAAGTGTGCACCTGTACGGGAAACGCCTACATCAGCATCTGAAGAGCTGCCTGAAGGAACGATGTGCCCTTAGGGACCCATCTCCAATAGTGGGAAGAGAAGCTGAGCCAAACGAGGGGTGTGTTTTGCAGAGAGAGCCTGCCCTGAGCATTTCCAACCATGGCACCTTTGTTGCTGCCATGGGCCTGATGAGCTGCACCCCTCGTCTGTGCCAGGGCAAGCTGCTCTTTTGATGAGTACATAGGGCTCCCCTCTATTAAAATGAGCAACATTTAAGAGGGAGGGGTTTGGATTTGCCAGTTCTTTCCTGGCGGGCTCCCCTCTATTAAAATGAGCAACGGAGGGGTTTTGATTTGCCAGTTCTTTCCTGGTGATGGTGAAATCACGGCTAACTGGCAGCTCTGCTCTTAGGCCCCTGAGCATCTGACACCCTCTACCCTATGCGAATTGCTGCCAGGCAGGGTTAGTTTTTCATGCTGTTGTGTTCTCCGCTGTCTGCGTAATACCAAGCAACTCCTTTTTTGTGCACTGTGGATTCACCTACGGGTAGAAAGGGCAGCTGTGGTCCTCAAATGAGGCAAACACGGTGCCTCTGCCCCCCGCAGCAGGATGACTAAGAGCTGATCTTGCACACATCCCTGTCACTGACAAACAGGATGGATACATCCCCTGCTGCTGGCTGCTTCCTTGGTGGTGTGAAACAGGAGTTAAACCCCATAGTTCCTTTTCCATCCCTCTCTGCACCCAGGGATGTTGAGAAGTGGCTCTTGGCTTCAGTAGCTGTCAGCTTGCCTCCCTCTAGTGCTTATCCCAACCTCCTGCAGTGCCAGCAGCTGGGATTAGTCCTTTCCCTTGGGTTTGATCCCTGCCTAGTTTGTGTCTGTGTGGAGCTTGGGTTATTTTTCAGATGGATGGTGCTGTCTGGGTTAGGTGGGAATAGCAGGAGGTGCATAAGAAGCAGCAATTCTGTTCCTCCCTCTGATGGACAGACACAGTGCAATTCCTCATGCGCAAAGTTTGGGGGAAACATGTTATTCTGGGTGCAGCCACCCTGAAAAGCTCGGAGGTGTGGAGGGAGAGAGAAAATCAGTGCTTTCTCTCCCACCTTTAAATTAAACATAATAACAAAGGGGAAAAGATTCTTTCAGCTTTTTGTCTGTCCCGTCTGCTTGCAGCCTCCAGCCAGACATGACCTTCCAAAGGATTGATTAGAAGAAGAAATAAATTTTGAAAAAAGCAGTGTTTCACATGAAGCTTGCTCAACAGCCTTATTTAACAACACTTCCTTAAGTGCTTTCTTGGCCAGGCTCTAAGTGGGAGGGGGAAGAAGGGAGGGCAGCCTGGCAGGAGTTGGGCAGAGGAAAGGTGATGTGTTTGGGTTGTGAGGGTTGGAGGAGCTCAGCTCCTGGCTGCCTCCTGCCCAGGTGTCTCCATGCATGGTTCCCTGCTCAGTCCACCCTGCTCCTTTTGGTGACAGAATGAGCATTTAATCCTCCTGGCCCAGCTGCAAAGCTTTTGTTTCGCCATATTTTCTCTGTCTGCTGTCCTGAGATCTGGAAGGGCAGAGCTCCTGGGTGAGGACACTTGGCTGAGCCGTCAGCCTGCGCTGAGCTTTCCTGGGTGCATTGTCTGATTTAGGCACTGTGATTCCTCGTCTAAATGCCGGGCTCCGTCCCACCCCTGCAGGGTTTTATATTTGATGGATCCCCAAGTTCCAGTATCGGAGACAGTGTGTTTGGGTGATGCTCTCATGCTGTCCAGAGCAAAACAAGTGGGGGAGAAGCTTGTAAAGCAGTCACAGAGTAGAGAGAGCTGGAGGGTTTACGAGAAATAACAAAAGCTGGATTTAGAGGAGGGGATGGGTCAGTAGGGCTGTAATGGTGTGAAAACATACCATTATCACCAGGGATAATTATGGCAAAGCTGTGCTGATGCTGGAACAGAACATGGACTTGGTCCGGCGTCACTTTGACAGCAATGCTGCCAGTGTCCTGGTGAGAGCAGAGGTCAGGGCAGGGTCCTCCTGCCACGAACATGATGAGCAAGGCCAGCAGAAAGCTGGAGGTGGGATTTAAACAGAGTCTGTGGGGAAAAGAGATTTTTCCTGTGCCAGGAAGCCTTGCTCCTGATTCCCCCATCTCCTCGCTTAACCGGTTTATGTGTTTTCCTCCTGTCCCACAGGAAATCTGCGATGATCCACATCTCTTTGTGGACGGGATCAGCTCCCATGACTTACACCAGGGCCAGGTTGGGAACTGCTGGTTCGTGGCTGCCTGCTCCTCCCTGGCATCCCGGGAATCTCTGTGGCAGAAGGTAAGCGGTTCCTCATGGCAGGGGAAAGCCTGTCTTCAGCACCTTGGCCTCACATTGTATTTGTCCGTCTCAAAAACTGGTTCTTCAGGGATGCCTCAGGTCCTGACAAACTGTTCATGTCTTTTAAAGGATTACCTTTCAAGGGGCATTCAGTCATCACAACTACAGTCACATCACACTCAAGCCAAACCCTTGGCCAGTTTCTCCTTAAGTGAATCAAGCCCTGTCCTGTCCTCCAGATTACAAATGTGACCCTCCCCACTCCAAAATAACTTCAAAACCAACAAAATTCAGGATGTTGAGCTGCAGCTTTTGGCCACCTTTCCCTAGTTTTCATGATGTTACCTCTCTGGCTGCTCAGTGTGTGCTTGCCTTGGTAATGAGACACCTTGTGCTGGGGCAGGTGGGGCAATTTGAGGGTGTTACTGTCTCTCCCAGGCCACTGCCTCCCCAAAGCATCGACCCCTGGCATGTCTCATGGCTGGATTGAACCGTGTAGCAGTGCTCCTTCGAGTCTGAGGTCCAGAGGGACTGTCTTGTGGGCCAGAAAGCCAGCAAGGAGCTGCCCCAGAGGAAGGGGCTGAAGAGCTGGGGAGCAACCGCAGAGGTGGCAGTTGGGGAGGGGAAGGAGATGCTGACTGCCACATCCTTGGTCAGTCTGTGCCTGTCTCCGCCATATCCTCAGCTACAGAAGAAGTCAGTCCTGTGAAAGCCATGGCAGGGGGGCCTCAGAGCCTGGTACACACGTGTCTCATTGTAGGGCAAGAGACCAACCAATTGCAAGCACCTTTTCATAGAATTGTAGAATCTTTCAGGTAGAAAAAGACCATTAGGATCATCAAGTCCAACCATTAGGGACTTAGGGCACTTAGGGACGTGGTTTAATGGTCATATGAGAAGTGTTGGGTTAACTGTTGGACTTGATGGTCTTAAAGGTCTTTTCCAACCTAAAGATTCTAAAATATTCTAGGGTAGCTATTGACTTCTGGGTAAGCAGTAAGGCTTCCTCCCATCGTGGCTGTGGTGACTGTTGTGGCTGTCATTACAGGTGTGGTGCACAGGGTTGTTTAGCTTGTTCCTCTGCTCTGACATCTCCCAAGGGCAAGGAGACGAGTTGTCTTCCCTCCTCATCATTCACTTCCAGCCCTGCCCTGGGAAATGCCAACCAAACAGAAGCCAGGTCCCTTTGGACACCTCATTATTTCAGTTTGCCAACGGCATTGCTTTTCCTCCCTTGGCAGTTTGTCTGTAGGTGTTTATGACTTCTCATTTTCCATGCCCTTAACTTGCAGAGGCTCTTCTTTACCTGCCTCCTCTTTCTTTCAGAAAGGTTTGTTTTGTGGCATGAGCTGCAAGCTCTCTCCCCAAGCGCCCCCTCCCAGTGGTGTTCAGTTTGCTGTGGTGTTCGCTACAGGGCTCCAGTCAGACATCCTTCAGCACAGCCCTGCTTTCGGAGGCCTGTGAATTAGGTGGAACCTTTATTCACACTTTGCAAAGAATCACAGAATCATAGAAAGGTTTTGGTTGGAAGGGGCCTTAAAGACCATCCAGTTCCAACCCCCCTGCCATGGGCAGGGACACCTTCCCCTAGACCAGGTTGCTCCAAGCCTCATCCAGCCTGGCCTTGGACCCTTCCAGGGATGGGGCATCCACAGCTTCTCTGGACAACCTGTCCCAGTGCTTCACCACCCTCTGCGGGAAGAATTTCTTCCTGATATCTAATCTAAATCTCCTCACTTTCAGTTTAAACTCGTTACCCCTTGTCCTGTCACTACCTGCCCTTGTGAAAAAAGTGCTTGGAAGGCTTATGGTGAATTGCAAGGAGTAATTGTGGCTATAAACCACAAACTGGGAGTCGTCAAGTGCATAGATTAACCCCTTGATCCAAAGAGACACCAGCTGTACTGACTGGGCCTGGATTGAGCATGGTCCTTGTTGAAGATCTCGGAGCCCTTCTCTGGTCCAGAAACAATGTGCCACTTGGTCCTCAGTGTGGTTGCACATGCAGTTGTGATAATGTTGCTGGAAGTACCTTTTTGCTCCTTGGCTTACTGGCATCTCTGCACATAGGACCCAAACCCCTACTCTGGACTGAGCAATGTGCTGATGCAAGTAGCAATTGAGAGGGCAGACAAGGCAGCAAACACCAGGTTTTTAAACTGTGATCAGACACCAAAATGTCTCTGATTCAGGGTCCGGGAGGAGCTGAAGGATGCTGACGCAGGTGTTAGCATCTCTGAAATATCAGCACAGGGATCCTGACCCTGGTCTCCCATAGGTGCTAGAAAATGTAATCCTGATTTCCACCAGGATGCAATTTAGGCTCTGTGTGCCCCTTGCTCCATTTCACAGAGTGGAACTGTCAAGTATGAGGAGCAGTGCCTTCATGGGAATAGGACAGGCCAGCACAGCCCTGTTTACGCCAGGAGATGATTTTACTCACACATTTTCTTCCACCTTGCCCCAAGGCTTCCTCTGTGTCCCTATTTCCCATTATGCTTGTGTTGTTTGAGTCACTGAGTGGAAATGGGGTACTGGAATTTAATTTGGAACTGTTTTCAAAACTCCTGAGTCTTGGTTGACCCAAGATGGCTTCAGGTGTGATCTGGCTCAGTAACACCCTTTTCTACAGCCTGCGGTTAGTTACTGCTCTCTGAGAAGACCCTAAAGGCTGATCTTGTGCCTCAGCTGAGCAGGGAAGGAACATCACATGGTGCCTCGGGCTGGACCCCCACTCAGTCCGTTCATCATCAGGTACAAGGTCATTGCTCCTTCTACTGCCATCCCATATGGAGATAAGAGAAACAAAGGAGTCCAAGCAAGGTCTGTATGACATTGTCAGATGTAGCTCAGCTCAAAAAGCTTTCCAGGGTTACCTGAAGGCATTTTTAACTTTTAAAACCCAAGGATTTGTCACCAGTTTTTGATAAAGGTATTTCAAAGGTAGTAAACAAGTGAGGCAAGAGCTCAGAGAACAGTCAGAAGGGTCAGTTGTCCTCAGACCTCTCATTTTTCCTTCACAGGAGGCTTTAGCAATTAGCTTTCTTGACTCTGTCCTCAGGGTCTTTAGGAGTAACAGCAGACTGGTGACTGCAGGACAGTTTCCAGGAAAATGAGCCACCTTGGGCCCTTGGTGTCTGTGGCTTGTCTGGCCAAGGCCAGCTTCTGATGGTCTTTTTTGGGACTTCTTGGAGTCAAAGGGATAGCCTCCAGGGATGATACCGGGTGGTTGTGAGTTAAGTGTGACACAGTCCCAGTGCATATCCTGGGCTGTATCCAGAACATCGTGGCCAGCTGGTTGAGGGAGGGAATTCTCCCCCTCTCCTCTGCTTTGGGGAGACCCACCCCTGCAGTTCTGCGTCCAGGTCTGGGGAACCCAATAACAGAAAGACACGGAGCTGTTGGAGTGAGTTCAAAGGAGGCCATGGAAATGCTCCAAGGGCTGGAGCATCTCTGCTATGGGAACAGGCTGGGAGAGTTGGACTTGTTCAGCCTGGAAAAGAGAAGGCTCCAGGGAGACCTTATAGCACCTTCCTGTGCCTGAAGGGGCCAATAAAAAAGTATGTGTGTGGGGACTTTTTACAGGGACCTGCAGTGACAGGACAAGGGGTGATGGTTTTAAACTGGAAGGAGGATTAGGTTTAGATTGGACATCAGGAAGAAGTTCTTCCCGGAGAGGGTTGGGAGGCACTGGGACAGGTTGCCCAGAGAAGCTGTGGATGCCCCATCCCTGGAAGTGTTCAAGGCCAGGCTGGATGAGGCTTGGAGCAACCTGGTCTAGTGGAACGTGTCCCTGCCCGTGGCAGGGGGGTTGGAACTAGATGATCTTTAAGGTCCCTTCCAACCCAAACCATTCTGTGATTCTATGAATGTCATCCCCATTTTCACAAATAGCACCATGCTTATGTCCTTTCTGTAATTCTGTGATTCTCCACCTGACCCAATTAGAGAAGCCTTAATTCACAGACTGTGCCTGAGTTCCTCTGTCCCAGGCACACAAAGTTGAAGCCCACATGTGAGCCCCGTCTCCAACATTGAGCCAGTCCCTTCGAGGGCAGGCAGACCCATGCTGAGCTGCTGGTGTCCATCTGATGCTGCACCAGCATGAAGCCCAACTCCTGCCAGCCACACCATCCAGAAAAGGACACGGGTTCCTCAGGGACAAGTTGACTCTGAGTCAAACACATACCGTTGCAGAGACGGGTGCCTGGCATTTGTTAATCCCCACCTGGGCACTGTTTTGGGGTCCCCAGAAGAAGACAGTGGCAAACTGAAGCAAGCCTGATGGAAGCCACCGAGATAGTCTTGGAGCACAGGAGAGGCTGAGAGCACTGGGTTTGTGTGGCCAGGAGGATGGAAGGCAAAGGGGAAACTTACTGCTGTCTGCAGATACCCAATGGAAGGGTGTGGGCAAGATGGAGCCTGACTCTTGCTGGGGATGCACAATCACGGGATAAAAGACAACAGCACAAGCTCCAGCTTAGCACGAACATGGTCAGACACTGGAACAAGGGCCCAGAGATGCTGTGGGATCTCCATGCATGGAGACACTCGATGATGAACTGGACAAAGCCCCAAGCAACCTCATTTAACATTGAAGTAAGTCCTGCAGGTTGGACCAGAGCCCTCCAGAGCCTCCTTCCAACCTGAGTTACCCCCTGAGCCTACAGTCAGAGAAAGCCACAGCCACCCAGAGCTGTAGGGTGGCATCCTTATCGGCACGCCTCCATTCATGGATAACAAGCTGCAGTTGTCAGGGCGGTTGCCAGGGAGGCTGACATCAGACATCCCTTCCCTATAGATTTTCGTGCACAGCAGCACCATCAGTTCCTAAGTTGCAAGCGAGGCAGGAGGGCACCCAGAGGAAGCCCCAGAGGGTGTTTTGCGTCACTGACCCGAGTTGCCTAGCACCACTGGGACCGTGGAGAGGGAGCATCAGCTCCGGGAGCTTGGAGACTTTTTCCCCTTGCGTGTCCTGGTTGAGAGCCAAACGTTGTTGAGGACGTAGCAGAGGAGCAAGCGAGGCGATGGCAGCCGAGGCAGGGATGCTCAAGCTGCCCTTTGTCCATGATGACCAGCTCACTCGGTGCATGCGACTGCGATTCCAGAGCCTGCAGCAAAAAAACATGAGACCCCAGGATGGCGAGAAGCTGCTGCATCCCAACGAGCACATCTACCGAGTGGATTTCATCCGGCAGCACAACCTCCACTTCCTCCACTGGGACATGCAGCTGGAGAGAGCTGGGAAGGTCACGGTGACCGGCACGTCCCAGCACTGGACTCCTGATCTCACCCACCTTATGAACCGGCAGTTGCTGGAGCCGGTGGGCATCTTCTGGAAGAAGCCAGGGGCCAAGGAGGTGGAGTGCAATGAGGCAGATGCCCAGGAATTTGGGGAGCGGGTAGCGGAGTTAGCCCAGATCCGGAAGGTGATGTATTTCCTCCTCGCTTTCAGTGACGGCCTCGAACCAGCTCAGCTGAAGGGCTATGTTGTTTTTAAAGCCTGATCCCTTCTTGCTTGGCCCTTCTTGCTTCAGCTATGCTTTTGTCTTCGTTTTTCTTTCTCTCAGTTCAGTTCTTGGTTCAGTTTTTATAGGGTTCTGTTTTATGAGGGATGGCATTGTGAAAAAGTGGAGGACAGCTTGGTGGTTCTGGAGCCCCTCAGCCCTGCAAAGCACTTTTCATACGTGCTGTCCTCTGAATGATGGGGAGGAGGCTTGCTGCTGTATTTGCCTAGAGTATAAGACTGCACGCTTGTGAATTCATCAGGGGTTCACCAAGCCTGACTGGCGCAGGGTCTTGCTGGCTTGGAAATATGAGGCTGCCCTAAGCCCTCCAACCATGGCAACTGCATACGAAAAGCCTCATGGAAAAATAAGAAATTGCCATACTAGAAACAGGAGACACAGCCTGGAGAGAGGTCTGGATTCCAGTTTCCGTCCTGGCTATTGAAAAGGGAAGGCTTGTTAGCCATGGAGCGCTTCTCCTTTCATGGATGCTGCGTGCTTGCAGGCTGCAGTGACTGCTGCTGCGACTGTGGCTGTTTGGTGTCTCTGGAAACCAGTCCTGTGGAGGATCACCTTGCCGTGGAGCCAGACTACGTTTGGATATTGTGTCCTGCAGGTTGCAAACCCACTGGACAAACTGCTGTAGGGATGTTGGACCATCTTTTTCTTGACAGCCGCCACTATTCCTCGCTGGGGGGCATTGTGGGGAGGTGTGCTGTAGCACTTTGCTTACTTTGTGCTGCCTGGAGGTTGTTGGTCCTGGGATGGGTTGGAGCAGGTGTGCGTGTGTGTGCAGAGCTGGGCAAGCGAGCCAAGAGCTCAGTGCAGGCTGTAGGTCTGAGCCAGCAGTGAGTCCCCCGCAGCAAAATCAATTTGTGCATTGTTTTGGCCTTAAAACACCCCTGAATATATTTATTCTGAAGCATCTATAGGGAGCCGTGAGGCTGCAGAGCACTTTGCAAACAACAGAGCAGAAACCTGCTGCTGCTGTCCCCAAAAAGCAGTATCTTCTACCCTCTACAAATGCTGAGGCAAGGAGCGGTGTCTGGGTGGCTGAGGGAGCAGAGAGGGGAGATGGTACCTTTGCAAGTTTAGGAGCAGGAAGGTGTTTTGCATCTGGCTTGTCCCATCACAGTGAATAAACTGCTAAATTTGGATGTTCTCTTTCCCCCCCACCAAAAAGTGGAGGGTACTTTGGTGCAGTTTCTTGAGACCCACAGATAGAAATACCCTTTGAAAGAATCAAGCATTGTTACAGTTGGTTCTTTGCCAAGATTGCACGCAAATGTGGGTGAGTGCTCCTCAAGGTATGGACTGAGATTTTCCCAAGATGTGTAAGGAGAGGGCAGCAATGGAAAAGCCAGGACAAAATACTTTGTCCCCATGGCCTGCTGACTTGTGTGGACCATCCCAAAACCAGTCCAACCTCTTCCTCAAAGCCTCCAGAGATGCAGACTACTTGCCCTCCCCAGCCCAATAATAGTGTATAAAATGATTGGCGCAAGCTATGCCAGGTGGAGAGAAGGAAAGTGGGAACGTCAGCTCCTGGCTGGAGAGGTGGTGGGAGCATTGAGTCTTGCTCCCAACCAAAGCTCAGCAAACACCAAGTCATACTCCCATGCCATGGGCAGTGCTGGAGAAACTGATGTCTTTCTTTAGGCCACACGAAATTCTGCACACAGTGAAGAGAGATGAAAGTGGATCCACCCCTGTTTGGCCATAGCATGGACCTACTGTGGGCCAAAACCCAGTTCTAGGGTGTCAGAAGATTTTCCCACAGGTGACCCTTCCTTGTACCTCCTGGAGCAGAACTCTTGACTACAAACCACATTACACCAATAACACGAGCCCCTTGCCAACTTCCAAAGGGGTTTTTGCATGCCAGGGCTTACAGTATGCTGTTGCTACGCTGCTGGTTGCTGGGGTAGAGTTCCTGCTGCAGAAACCTCGCTGGGGATCGATGTAACACAGTAAATAAAAGCCAAGTCGACCGGTTTCCCTTTAAGGACTGAGGCTGTGCGTGTCTTCTTCATGCCCTTTTTGGAAGGTGCCCCAGTCCTGCATGCAGTAAAGCAGCGCTCACCATTTTCAAGTCACTGTTGGTATTTTTGAGCACCTTTTTCTCCTGTAAAAAGTAAAATGAACATTCACCTTAATTTCTCTTAGTGTGAAAGACTTAATGAAGCGTTTAGAGGTTTGTGTGGTCTGGGGAGGGCTTTGAAGCTGGTCAGAGGAGGGGAAATGATCCTGGGGTGGATCCTCCTTTCAGTCAGAGCTGGGGGTGGGATGTAAGTGGAGTGGTGTGATTTTTCTCTGCTTCAGGGGACATGAGCGAGCGACTTCATCCCCGT